GCGGAGCGTAGGCGCTGATGATGGTGGCGAATTGGCCCCCCGCCGGAGAGGCAGGCGGAGGCTCATCAGGAGATCGTTGATTCCCTGCGGCAAACAGGGCAGTCGTCCCACGATGTCGTTCCGAATGGCGAAGGCGACACCCGCGTCCCGTCGCTCTGCCCTGGGTCGACCGCTCCAGAAGAAGGTGTAGCCGGCACCCACCTCCTCCAGTTGACCTTGTTCGGAGAAGCGGGTCTCGCTGAGTGCGGCGATGTCCACCTTGTAGCACGCCAGTTCTCGTGTCACTAGCGCCGTCCTCCGTTCCGGTCGGTTGCTCCTCGGATTGTCTAAAAGGGAACGAACATTCCAGGCTGCCAGAGTGAGCGGGCTCACCCTGCCAGTCTGGTGACAGCAAGTGGGGCGACGGGAAGGAGATGGAGAAGAAGATGACGAAGTAGAAGAATAGGCGAAGGTAGAGGAAGAAGAGGTAGGATGAGGAGAATGAGTATGGTTGTTGTTGTTATTGGTATTGTTGCTGTTTCGATTTTGATTGTTTCGACCATGATTAGACGTCTGCGGCCCTGGCTAGCCTGGAGACGGCGTGGTACCCAGCAATGTTTAGGCCACCTTTTCTAGGCCCTTCCCCTCGTGGGGGCTGGCAGTGCCATCCCTGAATAGGGCTGCCATGTGCCGTTGTGGCACGGCCGAACTCCACTATGGGACCACGACTTCGGGTTGTAGTGGAGAGCGACTCGAATTCGCCGTAAGCCGCGGTCTCCGACGGCGTAGGTGGGCGCGTCAAGGCGACGTAGATGTGGAGATCCATCCCGTCACCGGCTGTCCAGCGGCGTGCAGAGACGAACCACGTAAGGACGGTGCCGACGCAAGGTTCCATCCGACCTTCCATCCAGCGGAATCCGCAAACCCTGTGCACACGGCACAGCACACAGGGCCCCCTCACCTAGTTTAGCCCGCCGGTCGAGACGGTTGCCCGGGGTGTGGCCGCTGAGCAGAGTCCAGCTACGTGGAGCCACAGGTGAGAGTTGAGTAACAGCAGGTGGACGCTAGGCGCAATCTCACCTGCAAGCAAGTGAGCGACCACCACGACCATTAAGTGAACGCACCGCTGACACTCTTACACCCCGTTCCATTAGTAAAAATTTAATCTAAAGCACAATCATTTCTGGTCGAAGAGTGAACTAATTGAGATAAGTTTGAAAAGTAAATGGTGTCAAGCAGCTTCTGGAATTTAGGAGGAGAAGTAAGTGTGTGCCAGTCAATTTCTG